GATGGGGATATTAAAATCTTGATGTCGATAGATTATAAGTGGACTTTCCATATGAGAATATCTTCAACATTTTTATTTCATTTACATGATAGATTATAAACACTAAGTCTGCTCTTGAAAAGTTCATTGCAGTTACATGTATATTATTTTCAAAAATACTGTTAGAGGATTATCAGTAAGGCTTCTAAGGTGATTGTTCAAAAAAAGGAGAGCAATCTATGCAAGTCAGCTCAATCCCTTCTGTGTATTTATTATGCTGACAGTGATATGAAGATTTTGTGATTATTTATCATTTTTCCACTGAACCCATTCAGTGCACATTGGCCAATGTTCATCACGTTAAGTACATTTTTAATATTGCATTTACTGTCATTCTTGATTATGTGGCCTTAATCATGAGACCATCCTTTTTATTCCTGCTTCACTAATTACATGGGTTTTTTAAGTGCTACAATAACTGATAAGAACATTTCTTACTCAGGTAACAGCTACATTTCCTAGGTAACCATTATGAACTGTGCTCATTCCACACAGTCCATGCCAGCTATGGAAAGGGTCCTATTAAAATTACTAACCAGCCATGTAACCAAAACTGGTATCATAACTACATGGCATGGCTGAACAAGACACTCTAAGAGCGAGTTTTCACCCTTTGCTTGGGTCAAACACCATAGGTTTGATGAGAGCCACCATTTGTTGAAAGGTACATCCAGGTCAAGAATACTTCAGGCTCACAACATATTTCTGAGACAAATTACTTTAGACAGAATAGGAGGTGACACAGAATCAGACCTATTATGCTCCATATTTCCACCTCTTAGATTTCCTCAGTTCTCCACTTCCATCCCAGTTACTCATCTTAATCTTCCTTTGCCTGTTTCCTTTTGGTACCTGTTTTCCAACCTGTCAGTACAAGGTTAGGAAAAAAATCTTCAGAATTATACCTGAAGTCTACCCTGAGCAACAGGAACTGAGATATAGCTTGTAGAGTGGCAAAATTTAAGAAACCCTTTACACAACTAACAAGACATGTATCTGATAAAATTTTTCCATATTTCAAGTCTATGAAACTATGTGGATATGAGCAAAACCAGACTTTGTTTTATTTCTTAACAGTGACAAAATGAAGGAGACACCCAATGTGGGGGTGAGGGGGGGTGAGGGTGTGTGTCTGGATCCAACCCAACAAAACTTGCAGCCTAAAGACCTAAATTTTGGCAAAGTTATAACAACAGGGACTTCTAATGAAAGCCAGACCACTTTAATAGGTACCAATGGCAGCCCCACCTATAATATAGCCCATAAAGGACTTTCTTTGAAGATTTAGTAGGCATTCTCATTGAGTGAGCCTGCACACATTTACAGCAGCTGAGAATTTGACATATATGTATTAACAGAGTGAAATAAATCACAGCTTTTGCCATAGCACCAAATGAGAGACAGTAAGAATAAAATAAGTATTAACACTTCATTTTTTTCTCTTTCTTTAAAGTTCTGGAATGGATCTTAATGTGGCCTTCATTCGGTGCTAGATGTAATACTGATCTTTTTAAAACATTATTGACTTATACTGTATTAAGTTATTTGCAAATGATCACGCCAAGGAAAAAAAAATTAGAACCAATACTTGCATAGAGTGGAATTAACTAAATCGTTAGCTCAAAAAAACCCCAAAACAACCCACAACAATATAGACAATTTAACCACTTAAAAAGAGGTCACCATTTAGAAATAATTGTATTATGCATATCTATATACATAGACAAATAAACATATGCAAATACTCTATGGCACATAGCATTAAAAAGCTCTGAATGCAGAACACCTTAATCTTTCACCCACTGAAACCTCCTCAAACTATCAAATCTTTCTTCAGATTAGCTAGAATTCCACACCCCCCGCCACGTGTTCTCCTCTGTAAATAGATTTTTATTTCAGTTTACAATAAAAACATTTGTTTTATTAAAATCATATGTTTACGTAGAGTATGAAATATTTTATGCACTTGAAAGTTGTCTGGGCATTTTTTCCTGACTACTATTTCCAGTGTATTCTACATCCAATCCAGCTAAGCAACACATCCGCTCAGCACACCCGCACATCATGCAAGGAGTAAAACCAATTGCCGGACTAGCGCATTTCTGGAAAGCGGCAGAGTGAGCTTTGCGGGTCCTGGTTCTGTTCTGTACAATGCTCCTCTGTAGCTCAACAGGTGACAAAACACATCTGCTTTGCATAACACGTCCCTGTAAAAATCACTACAGAAACACCATTTGTAAGATCTTTACAACACCCATAACTATCACAGAAGCCATGTAAGTCAGTAACCACTTAAACAGCACTTGGTGCTTCCTATAAAAACATACTTGTGGAATTACAGCCATGCTTTCCTCAAATAACTGTTTCTTCTGCTAAACATGAATGGACTTCATTATCCAAGTGTTTACTGTGGTATAAATGAAGAGAATTTAAAAAATGAAGGCCTGCATTCCAAACTGCTGAGAAGACTTATGTATAATATATTTGTGAAGCTCTTCTACTTCAGGTGTCTCATGTCAATACTATGAAAAGCCCAGACTGGATTTGCACGCATGAGCATTTAACTTTGACATCTGCAATAAATGATAGCTCTGATTGTAGTTCTAATGAAACTTGCAATTATCTGTTTGGTTGATCTTTTCCCCCCAGATGTTACAGTTCAACAAATCAGACTTCTTCATTAAATAATTTCTCTCTCTTTTGGAGAGCAGTACATTCATTTGATCACCAAAGCAAGAGAAAGAATCAGGAGATTCTGTTCTGTCAACTTAGATGGTCCACGAGAATGTAAGTTCTAGATGATGGCACCTACTTAAATTGCCTTAAACATCTGCATGGAAATTTCTGTCATAAACAACTTGTTCTTTTCAAAGAAGTTAAGAACAGCCATTTTCATTTGGTTTTCTCCATATTTTATGTATTTATTGACGAGGTATACCCTTGCACTCCTTTTTTTACTTAAAGAGCTACCATGCTAATTTAGTTAAGAATAACCACTAAAAAAGGCTTTTTCTGGAAGGAGGGAAGAAGAAAGCAAAGGTCTTGCACTTTGAAGATTTATTGCAGGACAGCAAGGTAGCAGCAGCACTGTTACTTTTCCTCACAACCCAGTTAGTACTGCCTAGCACAGCACACAGGTATGCGACAAACAGCCACACAAGTGTCGTTATCCTTCCAGATAAAGGTTCTATTCAACACCTTGGGATAATCATCCTACCTTCTGTCGTGGTTTAACCTGGCTGGCAACTAAA